ATAAAAATAATTTTAAATTTCAAAAGTTGATAGAATTTGGAAACTAATTTTTTTATCATTAAAAGACGTATAATTAGCGTATTATAGTCGTCATAAAACATTTAAAAAATATATAAGTGATATTTTATAATACATAACGTTTTTTTTCTGTTTAGCTAAAATATCTTTTAAATGATTTTTTTGTAACATGACACAGACATAACAAGATTAAAATTATTAATTTTTATATTTTTTAACTCACTAATCTGGATTATAATTTACGAACTAGTATTTATATAAGTAGTTCTCTCTTTCGCTCTCTCTCTCTCTCTTTCTCTTTTTCTATCGCAAGATAATAATATCACAATGCAATCATTATAGAATATTTGAAAGAACAGAATTTGCGCGGTACTATTGTTTAGCAAATATATAAAGTAACGCGTATATATATACAATCAGCTGCATTTTCATGTTTTGTCTTTCGATACTTATTTTAAGACGGATGTTTGAACAAAAGGACGACTCGATGGAAAAGATTGGCACAAAGATGCGGCGGATAAAAATAAGACGCGAGGCAAGAACGGAAAGTTTCCGCATTGTTTCGCGGTCGAAAGCCACTTAAAAGTTAAAGAAGCCTCGTTAAAAAGGACGGATCTTCTCAAGACTGATTCTCTCGCGCGAGAGGAATATTAGTCGCCTTGAAGATACCGTCAAAATCATCATTGCGACATTTTGAAATCGCTCTCTGTTCTTTCTTTTCTCTCTCTCCCTCTCTCTCTCTCGCGCGCGCGCGCGCTTTTCTTAAGAGCTCAGATTTTATAATTGATTGCAGGCTCAATATTAACTTTTAAAATTCTCAAATTAACCATTAAGATTATAAAATATTTTGTAAAAGGAATTGCAATTATCATACGATAAGATCAAATTGCATTAACAATTATTTTGTGCCGCAATTTGAATGAAGATTGTTATTTAATACCTGAGAATATAATTTCGTAATTACAAGCATTTTTTCCCGTTGTTTTTCTATTAATTTCTTTGACTCGGTTTTGTACTTTCTTTTGTAGTTTCTTTTCTCATGATTTCCCTTCACATCAATTATATATTCTAAAAGTAATTTATGTTTCCCAATTTATAAAACAAATTTATTAAAATTGCGTTAAAAACATTAGTGTGCAACGGCATGCAACACATAAACAGAGAATTCTTCTTATTTAAAAATAAAATGACAATAATAAAGATTACATTTAACTTGCTAATGCTTCTATCTTTTCATTGCGACTACATTGAAGAAAATTTTTCTTCTATCCAGAGAGAAGAAAATGCTGAATAGATATATTTGTAACGAAATGTTGCGGCACACAAGAAATATTGTGGCTTATCATTACGTCGACATAATTCTAACTTTTCATAATACATGGAACAATGGATCGTTGCAATCATGCGTTCTTTATTTCTTTCCCTTTAATTTATTCGGTCCTGTAATTCCGCATATTGTGCTTATTATTACCTTCATCCGAACTCAACAGAATGCATAATGCACCGAGCTGCATCAGCTATGCATTGAGATCATGATCTGGCATTTCTGTCAGTTAAACGCATTGCACATTTTCTTTTTCGGCATGTCGATCGGTTGCGCGTAACCGGATGCAACTCGGCATTGTGTATCGCGGGGCACGCATTGTTTCGCGTAGCCGACCAAAGCTCCGGATTCAATAGCTCGATATGCCAGATTTCGGAAAATTTTTCAGCGCGAATGTACGCGCACAGCGCGAACGTAATTAGAACGCAGGTTAACAACGCGGCGCGTCCTTCGATTAATTCCCAATTAATTTACGATCGATGCCGATAGTTGATTTGTCGTTGATTCGCGCGCAGATGCGTTGCTCGCGCGCGTTACAATAATAATCCGTTATTAATTCACATCGCACCGCGCATTGTGTCGCCCGCGTAGCGCGATGCGTTAATAATTTAACGCGACTTTCTCGTAACAATAGAAGTCCAATTAAACACTTAACGCCGATGGAATACAAACCGAAAAGCGGTCATCCTCCAAACATAGTTTTTCATGTCAATATATTTTTTGCTAAAAAATATGCTATTAGAGTAAAACATGAAATATGCGGTCTTCGTATTTTCCAAATGAACTGATTTGCAGTAACAAATAATGATTGTAATCAAATAATGAAAAAGGGAGAGAGAAAGTACAGAAAGGACTGTTTAAAAAGAAAAATACATAAAGAAGTATAAACTGCTATAGAATTAAAAAAAATTAATATAGAAAACAATGATGAGATAGCAACGGAGTTAAAAAAGAGATTGCTATATCTATTGGACTAACCTGCAGAGACAGAAAGCGATTTCCACGGAATGTTTGTGATTGGCGGTTTTGTAGAAATGCTGCAGCGCTTCCATACACTCGTTCCTCGCGCACGTCGTCGAGTCACAATGATTCAGAACAGGCTGCAGCAGGTTCTTGCATTCCGGATCGTTTCTGCGCAAAAGAAAAAGTTTTATGTAGTTTATTCGGTATAATCGGTGTCGATTACCAGACTTGAAACTTACTTGCAAGATGTATAAGCGTGATGGCATGTGCTGGGCAGGATAAGTTTAACTGGCGGCTGAATTTTGTCGATGTCCGACATGGAGGATGTTGATGTCACGCCTGTTTCTATAAAATAAAAAAACAAATTACTGAACAAAAAGTGCTAAGTCAATAATTAAGTAACTAATAGGGCCTGATTTTAATTCTTTTGCATGTAATGGATTGTGCATCTTCAAGCGAAACAATAATATAAATCACATTTTCTTATTCTATATAAAAGAAAAGCGCTCGCGAAAGCGCAATTAATTTAAAATCCAATAATTATATCATAATATTTCTTTTCAATGTTAGTCCATTATTATAAATTCTAAAAAATAAAGATTTAGAAAAATTTTATGTTTTTGTTACAAGTTAAGAAAAAGCTTAATGTTTATAAAAGTGAAATATAAGAAATATAATTGCGCGATTCATACCGATTCATAAGAGCAAATATATTGCCACATATATACATGTATACATCATATACACATACACACACACGCATTCACAAAATGTCTTACTTTAAATTTATATTGATCAAATATGCGTATGAAAATAACAAAATAAAATTTTCATTATAACGGGTGAAACTTTTCCAATTAGCGCCATGTTATGCAATTGTATCTCAGGCGCGCGCGGCCGCATTTGATAAATTGTGAAAAGCATCATTTATCATGAATACGTCTACTATTGTATGTACGCGCACGACGTGAAGGTTCTTCCAGCACAAATTGAAACGCGAGCTTCTATCATCGATCGTAACATCGAGCGCAACACTTTTCCTCAAAAAAGATCGACATCAATGTAGTTAAATATGGTAGCCTGAGTCCTCCGTCTATTATATATGCACTGTTTACACAGCCACTGGGGAGACCCACTTTTCTCACCGGTGGACACCGGTGAATAAATGATAAATCATCAGCGTCATACCGAGTGCATTGACGCGTTATAGAAGAAAAAGATGAATATCGCCTCTCTGTTATTTCCAAGAGCTCCGTCAATGCTCATGAATTACAATCGGAACGAATGGTTAAAATCTCATTATCATTTAAATGCAATGTTATTAAAATCCACAAAATTTTTGATCAAATTTGATTAAACCAAAAAATTGATTAGACCAGATTATTCTGATCTTTTAAATGAATATTTTCCCTATGGATTACAAGAGAAGAGAAATCGATATTTCGCGTGCTGCAAAATGTTTCCGCGATTGGAAACATAGCAACGGATCATCGTGGAAATTTTTGTTGCAATTCCAGATTCCATAATAGAATCAAATCCAACAAATAATTATCATGGGAGGAGGAAAAGGGTAGTTTCCCTCCGATGACAAATGACTGTCATGATTAACCAACATTCCCTCTTCGATTGATGGATTCCGGCGACGGGGTTAATGATCGCGGGAAAGAAGCGTCCGTGAATATCGAGAAGAAAGAAAGAAGCTACCTTTTGGCCGCATGGAGGGGGAAAAAGGGTCTAGGATTCCCCATGAGAAGAACCGCCCTATCAGATGACTGGCCATAAGTCAACCACCATGGCGAGCGTGGCTACGACGCACTTTATTAAGACAAACGAGCGGCCGCCAAACCCCTGGCAGCCCTTCGGAGGCCTTAATCGCACCCCTGAATCGTTTGTAGGCTATGTGTATACGTGTATTTGTTTCGACATACAGAAAGGAATACCGATTACTGTTTAAAGTTTCAATAAAAGCGGCGGCCGAAGACAAATAATTTCTACAGAAAATTGCAGTAATATGATATAATAAAAATGTTAGTCAAGTGTAAAAGTTTTTAAAAAAATTATTCTAGTTTTTATCAAATTAATATTAAATATAAAGATTAATACAAAATATATTAGTTAGTTTTAAAACCGGCACTTTTATTTTTGATTACCAGATTCTCTTGATATTTTTAAATAATTCCGATATATTCGATTATTAATAACGAGAATTTGAAGAGAAATTAAAAATATCTCCTTCTCTTTTTATCTGTATTGATTTAATAAAAATCGGAGAGCCATATATCAGACCACAGATACCGAAGTCCGACAAGATTGAAATGTATTTCAAAGATTGTCAGAACGTAAATCGGAACACGCATCAAGCACATTTCCGATAGAATATCAATATCACAAGTTTCAGATCCGTTCGGCGCATTGCAGGAAGAAGAACAAGGGCAATTCCGAACGGCGGTAATTGAAACTCGTGTCGCCTGACCAACTTCTCGAAATCGATGCCGAGCTCGCTTTTGCTCGTCGCAAGATATATCGCGGTTTCTCGATCAGATGAGGATCTCTCTTCGGTGACACAGGTGCGCGGATGCAGAAACTCGCTTGGCGAGTCATTAGACTTTTGAACGAACGAGATCATTTGCTCATGGAGAATGCAGCCGGTTAAAACGTCGCGAGTAAAGCATGTGCTCATCCTATGCTCAGCACTTAGGCTAACGGTGGCAAATATAAAGTGCACTTTTCGCACTGTCAAGCGAGAGAAATCGTGTTTATCTCAAATAAAAGATATCCTCGATATTGATTCGAATATCTACGGCGTTTTACAAAGTACTAAAATTATTTAGGAAAATGTAAATTATATAAAACCCTACAGACTAATACATTGTCAATAAAAAAATTTGATAAGAAAAAGCGCCAAGTAAGAGATACTAGTAAGTTAATATTATCAATTATATAGTTAATATTATCAATTCTTTGACTAATTAACACAAATATTTTTAATATCTTTGTATTAGTTATTTTAAAGCAAGAGAATGCACAAATATTTCTTACAACATCAATAAATCCACGCGCGCGTTTTAGTTCTGTAAAATAGATTCATAAAATGAGACACAATCAGACACATCACATAGAAACGATGAAATGTGACAGGAGCTGTCAGGATGCTTGAAACCTCCAAACCAGATTGTAATTTACGCTCGACTTCATGTTCCTGTGACTTCTATTAAATTTTACTTATTACACCCAGAATCGTGAATGCGTCTTTCAAGCTCGTGGCCGCGATTTTTGTCGCGATGCAGCGCGAAGTTGACGGGAACGCAAACTGTCGGTTAACGAAATTGCAAGTTTAACGTCAACGCTCAACGTGACTTGTCTGTCCGTATTGCATATTCAGCGCAGACATTAAACTGGCGAGAAGCATATCCCGACGTTGCGCGATGCTAACGATTGAAAGCGGTTGTTAAAGAAGATCAAGATTCATAGCGTAATTCGCTTTCTCATTCGTCGCAAGACCAGTTCGAGAAATCTAAAACTATTAATTCTTCTCCGTAGCCGTGAGCTTTAGTGTTAAATTAATAAAATCGACTGAAATTCATAACACAGTTGACTCCGGAAGTAAATTTCGTCGAGCACAAAATTTGCTTCAATAATGTTATTCTTCACATTTTACCAAGCGATTCAACCACATGTCTATTCTTCGAAAAAATTTTCATTATATATTCGGTTTAAATATTAAATGTTTTATGTAAAAAATATTAAACGTGATACGTAAAAATTTATATACGTAAAAATTTGTCTAAAATTTTATTACATTTAAATATATATAATACGTAAAAATTAAATTATATAAAATTAAATAAGACGTTTGTATCTGTAATATAAATCTATAACAATAATACCCGCCCTTTCATATTTTATTTCTTTTATGTCATATTTTATTATAGTGTAAATTAAACAGTTGTCTAAAATTTTATTACATTTAAATATATATATATATATATATATATACATATATATATATATGTATAATAGAAAACACATAAGAATATATTATTACGAGTAATACATATAACCCGAGAGTGTCTCTCGACGCGCTGTAAAGCAGTCGCCAGATAAGAACAACGAGCGCACGGGGCGACACGTGTCGAACGGAGAGT